TGCTGGAGTCACAGCAGAGTTGTCTTTTTTTTTTAAATTTTATTTAAGGAGAAAAAAAAAGCAGAGAAAGGGTACAAGTTATACAGATTTACAGAAAAAAATAAACAGTAGGAAATCACTAGTTAATGGATTACATATTGTCATCTTAGAAATAATTGTTCAAGTCACAAAATTAAAGCTTGTAAAGTGGACATTCCAACAGTGAGACTGCAAACAGTTCTGTTCAATGATCCAACAAAACTCAGTGATATCATTATCTATCTTATACACTTATATATACATGCAGTTATATCGTTTAGAGCACTTTCTTTTCCTCTCTTTTGTACAATGACAATTACCCATTTTGGGTTTTGTTGCTCCCACAGTTCTTATTACTTTTTTGGAAGGGAGTAGAACCAAATGTGACATAGCAGAACAGAGTCAATCAAATCAAAAGGGTGGACATAATAGATAATGTAAAAGCATAATACAAGGTGATCAACAATGGTTACCATAATGCCTCCCGGTATCTCTAATAGAATTGCCTATACATCAGTTATAATAAAATTGAACAAAACAGTAAAGAACAAAACCGACAAAACCAAAACATTGGAGACATTATAGGTCTTCAAAAGTAGATAATAGTCAACGAGAATGGGCGTTATAATGAATCTCACTATCTTCACAGCTGTTGCTTAAACTTTCGAACCTGGTACTATCAAGCAAAACAGAATAGGGGGACATCAGTCAAAAACAAGATGGTGAGAGTAATACAGGGCTTTAAGTCAAGATAATGGAAAGTCAAAGTGGGTTACTATAATATATCCTGCTATTTTTTATTTATTTTTCCCTTAATTAAAAGGATAAAAATAAAAAAGTAAATAATGGAGTGGAGATTGAGATAAAAGAGGGCATAACAGCAAAACAGTGCAGATCAAAACATAACCATTTAAGCAGAATAGTGTTTTACCACAAGATAATTCTGACATAAAAGTAGTTACCATATTGTCTCTTTACTTGAAATCTTTGAGTATAACTTCGTATACTGTAGCATCAAATATATCAAAACAATGTAAAACCATTTAAGAGAATGACAGCATTACAGGGTATTTAGAATCAACCAACAGAAAACGAACAATGGTTTCTGTATAATCTCCTTGTCTTTAAAAGTTTTTGCTTATACTATCATACATAATAAAATCCAATAAGATACAACCTGTTTAGACCAATGGAGACAGAAGAACAAAAGCTTGATGAGACTTAAAAACAAGATGATACTAAATCAGTATTACCTATTAAGATGTCATTTTCTCCAAAATAGCTGTTCCTATCATCCAATCTTCTCTGCCTCATTTCTGTTGAGCTCTTTTTCTGTCATTAGTTGTCAGTTTGTCTTCTTCATTTTGTTTTCTGCTCCATTCATTGTGGCCTCTCTGCCACTATTTCTGGATTCTTTGTATTTTTCTTTTTTAGAATATCCTGTGGTATTCTCTGTAGAGTTGAATTGGTGGTTGCATATTCCCCTAGTTCCTCTTTATCCTGGAAGCACCTTGTTTTTCCATCAATTTCCATGGATAGTTGTGCAGGATATATCAATCTTGGCTGGAGATTATTATCTTTCAAAGCTTGAATTATTTCCCCCCATGCTCTTCGTGATTTGATGGTTTGTGCAGAGAAATCTGCTGTAATTCTGATGGATGTTCCCTTGTAAGTGGTCTGTTTCTTGTCTCTGACAGCTTTTAATATTCTGTTCTTGTATTGAATTTCTGGAATTTTGATTATTATATGCCTGGGTGTTGCTCTGTTTGGGTTGTAGGTGGCTGGGGTCCTGTATGCTTCATACAACTGAGTATCTTTACCTTTTGCTAAATTAGGAAAATTCTCCTGGATTATTTCTGTGAGTAGCTTTTGTAGTTCATTTGTTTGTGTCCCTACTTCTTCTTTTATGTTCTTAATTCTTAAGTTATGGATCCTCTTATCATCTTCTAGTCTTTGTATTATTGTTGTTTGTTTCTTTGTTACTTTTAAGAAGTTTTTCATTTCATTCTCTCATATTACAAATCTGCCCTCCAGTTCAGATAGTCTGTCCTTAGTTTCTTTCAAGCTGTTATGCCAGTTTTCGATAGAGTTTTTAGTTTCCTGGTTTCTCTTTGAACCTGCTTCACGTATTCTATGCTTTCTCTATTTTCTCCATCAAATAATTCTCCCCTCTTTTTCTGATCTTCCATTCCACCATCTGTTTTTTCTTGGGTGGTGCTTAGCATTTCTCTAACTATTCTGCTTATTTCTAGCTTCAGGTAATTAATAACTTCATTCCTGAACTGATCTATGAGGCTCTCTAGATGGCACTTTATGTCTATTGGTGCGGTGTCCGCTATTGCCTGTTTCTCAGGATTGGGGGCCGAAGGGCCTTTCTTGTTGCTCCCTCTTCTCATATTCTTTGTTCCTTATATATGCTAGCGTATATAGGAGGCCCAGCTTCCTTTCCTGTCAGCCGCAGTCTGATTGAATTGCACCGGCTAGGTGTTCCTGCCCACTGCAGCACACTAGGAAGTTGCAGATCAGGCAGCCTATGTGGGGCCCGCCCCTCCAGGCTACCCTCAGGCTCTGGGATTTGGGTTGTGCTAGCCCACTGGGTCTCAGCCAGCAGTGTCACATAGGCTAGGCACTTCTCACCAATCCCGCTTGAGAGGGGGATACGTGGCTGAAGTTGCCGTAGTGCCCTGCTCCCACAAGTCTGCCCAGTCCCAGAATGTCCTCTGTTGGAGTCTCCCAAACCGTGGGAAGAGTGTCAGTTTCTCTCACTCACCTCACCACAAGTCAATGCATAGCTTCCTACCCATCCTGTTTTCAACTCCGTTCGCCGATTCCCGTTCTCAGAGCTTCCACGTGTCTATCTCCCTGCTGAGCCGATGTAGACGCAGCCGCTGTGCGGCGGGAAACCCAAATCGTGGCTTCCAATGCCGCGGGCTCCAGCTTCCACACTGAAGCTTTTCTGTTCCTGTTATAGCACCAGGATTGCACTCCAAGTTGGTTTCTCTCAGCCCAGTTCGTTCTTGGGTCAGCAGGGAATATCTCCACCTGCTCACGACTCCTTACTCCGCACCGTTCCTGAATTCCAAGCTGGTTCTTTCAGAGAGCCTCCATAGCTGCTGCTATCTGTCCGCCACGTTCTCCCGGAAGTCAGCAGAGTTGTCTTGAGTCACTGTCTTCACCTTGTTTCTGTCTTCCAACTTGCAGTTGATTGACTGAACTAAAGTGGTTCCCAGAAACAGAACTGCAAAGTAGTCAGAAGAATGCAGATCTATGAGCTCCTGTTGTCTTTGCAAAATATGAAAGTGTGCTAGAAGGGAGAAGAATGGATGCTGTGGGCCAATCTACCAGATCTACCACCCCAAGAACCATTCTGAAATCACTGTGAATCTACTGAGTTTTCATAATTTCTAATCAAAAGTCATATGAACACAGATTTTATAATTCAAAAACAAGATTTATTCACTCAAAAAGTGTTTCTTTAGCATGTAATGTATGCAAGCACTCTGCTATGGTAACAGAGGTCTCATAGCCCACACGTGAAGGCAAGGGTAAATAACAACTTAACATAGGGAAAAGTAACTGAAACATGTCATCATGGACTGGCTTAGTAACTAGGTGCACTACTTATTGAGCAGGTGCTAATTGTGTAGCATCATAAATAATTAACATTTGAAGGATAAAAATGAACTTACAATAAACTGTCCTGAATTAGAAAAACACATAATTGAGGAACTGAGATATGTATACAGCACTGGTACATGACGAAATACTCCAACTACTCAACAGTGATTATAGTTGAAAACTACTTAACAATGATATCAATTGTTGGATGCTTATCAATCAAAACAGCTGCTATCCATTGACAGCTGGTTGTCTCAGTGGTTCTTTTAACACAAAAGCACTGTTGGAATGTGTATGATGATTGTCTGTCCTAAAAGTCTCTGATCTCCTGGCGTCTTTGGAACTAAATAAGCTTGCACAATCATGAACAGAACTTACTTTTGGTTCCTGCTCAACCAACATTTTCAGGACCTCCAGCTTTAGCACTTCAAAAAGTCTCTCAAAGGTTTTTCAGGCATCTCAAGGGATGCCTCAGTGTGCAAATTTTTGTGGAGATAAGATTATTCTTTGGAGTGACTGCTTTTTTTAGCAGTAAGAATTACTCTCCAGACCCAGATGAGGAAGGGGAGCAGAGAACTGAAGAAAGAATGTTCTCTACTCTGCAGCCAAGATCATTCTGATGAGTACTTGTAGCCACAGGAGCAGGAGAGGACAGTATCTTTCTTATGACTGGCATTCTGAGGGTGGCTGCACCAGATGAGAGAGAAGCTCCTTCATGAGGAGCATGGACAGAAATCATTCATGAGGAAAGCTGATGTAGGTGGAGCAGGTAATGCAGTGTACAGCAGAGACCTAAGTATGGAACATACAAGCAGCAGCCAGAACATGGATCGAGATTTGGTCCTGCCTGTTCTAACTGTTTCTAGGAAATGACATATCCTGATTATAGTTTAGGATAATGTTTTTGCAACCTATTAATTGGATTATAACATCACTGTAACTTAGGGGACCTGCTGAACTGCCTTTCTTTGAATGACTATAAGAATTAATAGATGATAATGCTCAGTTTGATATTTTATGTGGCTACTTTATACTGGTACTTGTTTAGTGTTATTATGTTGGGTCCTACAGTTTTGTTCTATGCCTGTACTTCCAGAAAATTTCAAACATGGAATAAATCCAAAATTTAGAGAAAAAAAAAACATTTTATACCACTGGTATGCTTTTGAATAAAAGCACACAAAAAACTTGTCAATGTAATTTGAGGGATAGATTATGTTTGTATATTTTTAAAGAATAATCCCTACATAAAACAAAAAATAAAAGTTATCACAGTCCTAGAGAAATGATAAAGTGAAACCTTTGGTTATATTTAGGAAGAAATATCAATAGTCTTTTCACTAGTAAGACTTCTATTTCCTCAGATACTAAACTAAACATGAAGAAGACAAGTATCATCAACACACGACGCTCCTTTATAAATATTCCCAATGCGGTTGCACCAGACATTGAAAATGAAATAAGAAGGATGGAAAATGGGGCCTGCAGGTAAATCCATGCATTTTAAATACTAGCCATGATCCTTTCATTTAGTTAGATTTAATTTCAATTTAGCTATAATTTATAACCTTGAATTTTATTAAGTTCTTAGTGAATGTACTTGTACTTTGAAGCTGGGTCATTTGTCTAACCAAAAAAAAAAAAAATACTGTGGCCATATTTTTTGAATGTATACTTCTTTAGTTATGGGCAGAGCCCTTTCCAACATTTGAAATATATTATATATGTATAATATAATATTTTTCATACATATGAAAAATTGTACATAGAGTATGTGATGCTTATAACAAGATTTAACAGTACAAAGTGCTCACCCTATAAAGGTGTGGACATGTGGTTGGAATTTCTTTTAGTGGAAGGAAATGTTAGGAAACAAGAGTTTATGCAGCTGTGTAATATAACCTGAATCCCCAAAATTGCAATTTCTATTTGATAATTATTAATATCAATTAATGTGTCAAATAATAGGAATACAGAGTATCTAGAAAATGGTTCCTCAGTTAAGTTCAAACACATTTTAATGCATTGTGCACATGGTTGATAAACTATTATATATCCTATATAATTCTTAACTCTTTCTAATTAAAAAATGCATGTGCATCTGAGGACTTAACCCAATGATAGAGTGATTGCCTGGCATGTGTGAGGTCTTTGGTTCAATCTCTACCATGGCAAACGAAAAGTAAGTTGTGTGTTAGTTTGAGAGGAAAGGAAAGAGACGAGGCAAGCATTCCCCATAGAGAGAAATGTTGCTTTTGCCCAATAGTTGAAAACATTAATCAAATCCATCTCTGCTTCCTATTGGACCTAGCTCCTTTTCTGACAATGACAGCAGTGCCTCCATATCTGAAGAATCGGAGAATGAGAATTCTCATGTAAGGTCTTCCTTTAGAAGCAACTCACACAGAAACAGAGAACCATCACAGAGGTGAGCAGTGTGATCTTAGAATGAGTTTTGAAACTATTATTTGGATAAAAGCTTTTATGTTCCTTCCCAAAAGTGGGCTTGGTGAATGTTACTGCTATTATTGAGACCCTGTAGAAGATCTCAGGGGTATCTTGCTTCCTACCTTCCTAGCTCAGAAAACCATCACTGCCTGAACATATTTAATGGCCAAGGGGCAAGTCACAAACAAGTTTGACTACTTGCCTGAGGTTCAAGTCTATATTTTAAGAAGTTTCATGCCCCAATTTTTTCTGATTTTCTGCTTTTTCTAATCCCTCTTTTAGGGTCTTGAAATAACTGTGTGTGAAGGTTGGCTGTCATTCTCAAAATTGCTCTAGAGGAGTTACGTTCCAGTACTGAGGGTGTCACCCTGGAATTCCTAGTCTGTGTCACTTACAGCATTTACTTTTTCTTTGTTTTGCTTTCCTCTTTCTACCCACTAACTGCTTCCGTCCTTCCCACCGTGTTTTTTAAAATTCTCTTTCTATTTCTTCCTTCTCCACTTCCTATTTTTTCTGACAGTATTAAGTCTTATCAGGAGTTACTGGTATCCACCTTGATTCACTCAAGGCCAAGCAAGATGCTTATTCTTGGTCTGAACCTCGATGGATAGGCATTTATTAACCATTTTGGTTCAAAAGCTTTGATATTTGGCAAGTCATACTTCATGGAGGCTCTGTGGTTTTATAATCATCTGGGCAATCTTTTGTAGTGTGTAGAAAATGAAAAGAAATTTGTTCTTTAAGACCATTTGCTTACCATGGATGTTACTCAGATGATGAGCACTATAATTTCACTGTATATTTTTATTTTCCAGAAAGCAGTACCTGCCTGGTGCCCTGGCACTTTTCAACATTAACAATAGCAGCAATAAGGACCAGTAAGTACATTTACAATAGGAAACCAAAACTTTATTTTTTAGAAATGAGTAAAACAAAAGAATATATCTCAGTCTGGCACTAACGTTAACTAGATAAACTAATATAATAAGAATGATATTCTGTTACTTTGTTGTTTGATTCATATTAAAAATAGTATTTTTATGTATTCATCTGTTTGAGTATACATATAAAATCCATGTCCATAGATTACATGCAATCCCCTTCTTTTTGGTAAAGTGGCTGACAAATGTACAGAAAACATTGTTAGTTCTTCTCAGTCTGAACCAATATATCTAGGTCAAGTAGTCCAGGGGAAAACCCTGAGATGGAGATCTGTGTGCAGAGGTTTATTGGGAGTACTCTTGGGAATGATACTAGAAAGAGAGCTGGTGTGAGAAGGGTAGTGGGAGAATTGGCAGGGAGAGAAGCTGAATTTCAGATAATAGAGTTGATACACAATGTGATCCTTTAGGGAGCTCTAGAGCAGGTCACTGTTCATAGCTAGGTCCTAAGACTGGGCGTTTGTAGCTATGCAAAGTCATTGGATATGGGCTAGCACTAGAAAGTAGGGCCTAACCTTGACCATGGTGGTTTCCTTCAGTGACAGCCAGCTAAGGGGAGAGGAAAACTATGAGCTGTCAGCTCTTGTCAGATGGAGAATGAGACCCTGAAACTTATGTACTACCGTATCCATCCAAACCTTGTACACTGCTTAGATCCACTTTATTTATATAAAAAATAATTTATCCCACTTGGGAATATCTCTTTCAGGTTTCTGGCTTTTATTTTCCTCTGGTAAAGCTTGTGAGAGAAAGGTTAATAGCATAAACTAAGGTCCTTGAGAGCTGCAGCTGGTTTTGAAGATTCAACTGAAATTCCTCACCACCCCCTCCCTTTGTAGAGTCCTCTCATACTTGACTAGAGCTTCTAATGGTCTGCATGCCTTACATGGTAGAACAACACAGACGTTCATCTTTAAAGGATTTGAGCTCCTGGTTATCATGCTTTTCTTGGGTCATGGCTGCTATACTCATTCATTTACTACCACAACAGGAATGGGTATTATCAAAAGACACCACAGTGGATCACTTGGGTGCCAAACATATTTTCTATTCTTTCAATGCATACCAGCAAACCTATCTATTATGACAATCGAGGTCAATGACTCATCGATACAATGGTGCTCCACACCCTCCCTATCCATGGGCCGTGTTTAATCAGCTACTCTTTAAGATGTCTACATATGGCCACAAGTGGGCAGTGAGGAAAGGTGCTGATGCAGTAGTGTGAAAGAGATGGCTGTGTGTGCTGGGCAGTTTACTTGTTTTCTTATGTTAGTTCCAGAAAAATCCATCCTATAATGGATTATTGCCCAGCCTTCTGACTAGGGTGGATTACTTCAGAACATTTTGACTATTCATGAAAAACTACTTTAGTCAGAATTACTTCCTTTATGGAAAATAGATGGCATTTTCTTGAAATTGTCAATGCTTTTATTTAAGGATACATGCAAGGAATATCAAGCTTAGGTTTTGTATGCTTTTGCATACAAAGTGCAAGAATATGGCAAAACCAACACTGTGGAAGTATACTATTCCATAGTGGGTACTGGTTTCCACAGGAAGGGTACTGGCTTCTTAAGTCCTTAGATTTGTGCCTTTACTTACTGCCATTTGATTGGAAACTGTGGAGTTTTGCTTTTTTAATCATCTGAATAAGTATTTTTTGTAGGATGCTCTGTTAGGAAACTAGGCTTCTGGCTTCTGAGGAATAGGGCAGGACTTTGAATACAAGGCTGAGAACTCTTGGTCAATGGAGAAGAAACTTAAAAAAACAAATGGAAATCAGATTGTACTGTGATTACATGACAGGAATATTGTTTTATTTTTTTTAGAGCACCAAAAGAAAAAAAGAAAAAGAAAAAGGAAAAAAGGTGAGACTGGCATGAATCACCCCACATTTTTTGCCCTCAATATTTTCATATTTTAACACTGTACGCACAACTTTTTCAGCAAGACAGATGATAAAGGTGAAAATAAAAAGGACTCAGAGAAGAAAAACAAGAAAGAAAAAATGAAGAAAAAGATAGAAGAGAAAGGCAAAGATAAGAAAGAAGAGTAAGTATTTTTACTGAAATTGAAGTCAGAAATGAATTTATGATGGCTTTTACATGTAGGGATAAATTTCCATCATGTAAAGTAGGAAGAACTTTTATGATAAAGAGGTCCTGTGTAAATATTCAATGTCTTTAAATATATAAAAGTAAATGGTTAAAATAAATTGCTATCAATTGTTAGTTAAAATCTTCTTCTAAGTCCCCTAAAATTAAGAATTATTGTTTTTCCTTATCAAGAATTTCAATTGTTGGTCCATTTTCTTCCTCAAGCATTTATGAAGATAATGTTAACCACTAATGATTATCTAGGTTCAAGAATAATTTGGTACCTACTGGTTGGGTACAGTGGCTCACACCTGTAATCCCAGCAATTGGAGACTGAGGCAGGAAGATCGCCATCAGTTCAAGGCCAGCCAGGACTTTGTAGTGACATCCTGTCTCAAAACAAAACAGAGTAGTTAGGTGCCTAGTATTTTAACATCAATTTTAAAAATCTGAAATAAAACTGTAATAATTTCATTAACATTTTTGAGTCATAAGTATTAGAATATGGCAAATACTGCAAAGTAAACTAACCTTATTGCAAAATCTGGACTTACCTTTTTTTGGCAAGGGCAGGCGGGTTGAATCATAGCCTCACTATGTAGTTCGGATTGGCCTTGAACTCATCGGTAGTCCAGGATGGCCTTAAATTCTTTGTGATGTTCCTGCCTCAGCGTCCCAAGTGCTAGGGTTATAGACACATGTCACCACAACTGCAAGACCTAATTTTGAGAGCAATACAAATGCTATCAAAACCAAAGTCCTTTGGGGCATTCAATTTAACATAAACATTTAAGATCTACAATTCCACAAGACTAAGGCCAAGTGACATTTGCAAAGCTCTTCACTTTTTATTAAAGGCTAATTCCCTTTCTAAATATACTTAGGCAAAACTCTTCCCCTGACAATGACTCCAATCTTACATTCCACTCCATGCCCCACCTGTTAGAATGTTGTTAAAATTCCTATGAGGAGAAAAATCTTAAAAACATAAGATTAGATCACAAGATTGTTAAAAATGTCATTCAATCAGACATTTTCTTCTTCCATTCTTCTTACGCTCATCTTCCTTTCTTAAAGAATCCTTCCTTCATACTTCTCAATTAATGCTTTCATTAGATTAATCTTTTTTTTCTCTCTACAGTGAGAAAGAAGCTCTAAGTCTTCTCTTGCCTCACACAGTAGTTTCCGGTCACTTGGTTGCCTGACTGGGCAGTGGTGGCGCAGTTACTGTTCTTCTGCTGCCTGTAACCTTCCAGAGGAGTGTGGAATAGCCATCATTCCCTTCCTTCAGCTCATTGTCTCTTAGTGACTTGAGAACAGAACTGACTGCAGCGTGGCCGTCAAACTGGAGCCTTAATAAAAGATTAACACATACTTTAATGTTAAGAGTAATTTAACTAGCTATCTACCTTACACTAGCCAGTTTCTTCTGACCACAACACATATCGAACTAATCTTTTCACTGAAGAGTTGAGGTCTCCAGCTTACTTCTCTTTCATCAGTTGTGGGTTTTGGTAGAACTATATTTGAAATGTCATGGTTCTTGGGCTGGTGGTATAGCTCGGTGGCATGATGCCTGCCTGGCAAGTGCAAGGTCCTGTGTTTGATTCCCAGTACCAAAATAAAATAAAATAAAATAAAAATGTTCTTGTGTTTTGGTAACTTTACCTTCTATTTCTCACTGTCACTAGGGAAAAGAAAGAAGTTACGGTTATTGATCCTTCAACAAATACGTATTACAATTGGCTGTTTTGCATCGCCATGCCTGTGATGTACAACTGGACAATGCTTATTGCAAGGTGTTTATGTATTTTTTGTAGATCTCACCTACTTGTAGTTTCCAAGCCAACTGATTGAACAATTTGACCTAGCACCCCTCAGGACACATTTCCTTGTCTTGCCACATCTTGAAAAGAGAAGCTGGGGCTGGGGATTTAGCTCAGCGGCATAAGCGCCTGCCTTGCAAGCTAGTGGTTGTGAGTTTGATCCCCGGTACCGATAAAAAAAAAAAAAATCTAAAACTGTATAATTCTATAGGGGCTGGGGATTTAGCTCAGCGGTATAAGTGCCTGCCTTGCAAGCAGGTGGCCGTGAGTTCGAACCCCGGTACCAATAAAAAGGAAAAAGACAAAAAAAAAAAAAAAAAAAAATAGAGAGAGAAGCTGAGTTAGACTCAGTGTGTCTTCCTGAGATCAAGCAGGGGGGCTTTTGTTGTTCCTGTGCTTGGTCCTCTGGTACTGGGGTTGGGTGGGGTACTTTTGAGCTTTTGATTTACTCAATCATGTAATTAGGACATATGGAGAAATTATATTTTTTCTGGTCTACTAGAAAAATTATTGCCAATATTGGAAAAATATCAAAGATCCGGAGTCTTTTAGGTGGTAAACATGTCATATTCAAAGCCAAGCATGTTTTCCTGAAGTATATTTCCTGAAACCTATTTTGTTGAATCATGTTGGGAAGAAATAGGGAATATCAACTTGGTGATCAATGAGGTTCAATGAGTGTATTTGTCTTCATACTGAGATCATTTTTTTTTCTTAACCAACTACTATTTGATGGATACCGTGTTGGAGACAACAAGATTGAACAACTCAGGAAAACATTTGGGAAAGCCATAATTCAATAAACATGTTCTAAGAGCTCCTTCCTAGGTCTTAGTATATTGTACAGAAGTGACAAAAATGATAAAAGTCATGCAAAGAGAATTTTTACTTCAATTCATCTCCAGTTTACTTACACAAGTTTTTTTTTTCCAGAGCCTGTTTTGATGAACTTCAGTCTGATTACTTAGGATACTGGCTCATTTGTGATTATGCTTCTGATATAGTCTATCTTATGGATATGTTTGTACGATTGAGGACAGGTAAATATTTTCGGGTTTAGATAGTCTAAATTTTCATGCTTTTATCTTTGACATATAACTTAAAATTTCCAAACTCAAGTGTTCTTTAAAATAAACTCATAGTTATGTGTTTTAGGAAAAAAGGAACAGTTGGAAACAAGAGTCATGATTTTACGTATTCATCAGCTTACGCCACTCTAGGTCATTCCGAAATGTTACTAGAGAAATTTTTGAAGATAGTGTGGTGGCTTTCTTCCATTCTTCCTGTTTATTTGGTTTATGCCAGGTGAGAAGACCAGAGAGAAAAGAAATGTTCTGCCAGCTCTGTAGGAAAGAGTAACTGCCTCAGCTAGAGACGTCTTTAAAAGGCAGAGCACAGCAGAGCTGAAGCAGACATTTTATAAACCTTGGTGCCTCGAGGTAGGATCGTATTAACCAGAGAGTAGCCAAGCTTCCTACCTAAAGTATTACTAATACGTTCATAGCTTCTAGACTACTCTGCACATGCAAACATAACCAGTGTACGGAGTAGAAGGTTTTACGAATTATTATGAAAACGCAGACATTTTAAAATATCCTTGCCCTAGAGCGATGCTCCAGTGTTGTGCCTTGTTTGCAGCTCTAGCAGCTGTTAGAGGAGGAGCAAACTCTTTCCCTATCATGACTTATCACAGCGCTGAAATTTTGTGGTAACAGCACAGAGAGGTAGATCCCAGGGGACTGCAGAAGACCAAAGGACAAGAATGAGGGAGAAAAATGCAGCCTCAAAGGCACTTCCACGTCACTTCGAAGGAGCAAGACATAAACATATTTTTAGTCAGATAGCAAGGAAATTGGACATTTAGTCAGAAGGAGCAACATGAGTTGTTGGGCATTGTGCCAGATGTTCAAGAAACTTTCCAACGATTAGGTGTGGTGGTATGGGGGGAAAAACAAACCATCTCTTTGCTTAGTGTAGTCACAACACAATGTGCTTGTGGTCACAGGTCAGGCATGGCAGAAACCACATGCTAAGCAATTCTCTTAACACTAGCTGGGTGTCTTATAATTTAACTCAGTTCCTGTGGGTGTTCACTGGAGTTAGTGCAGATCCTATACATTAAAAGCTCATTCCCACAAGAAACTCCCCCATTAGATATCAGCTACAAACTAGGTTGTAACCTGTGTTTTTGACCTACTTGCTATAAAGCAGGGTTCCAACAACCCTTCCTCAGATGTAATAACTTGTTACCATGGCTCACAGAATTGAGGGAAGCACATTTACTAGTTTATTGTATTAATGAAGGGTACAATAAATGATCCAGATGAATAGGCAGATAAAGAGACACAGGGAAAAATCTGGAAAGGTCCTGAGAGCAGGAACTTCTGTCCCCATGGAACATACTTTACATCCTGAAAGCTCACTCGACTTGACAGTTAAGGATTTTTATGGAAAATTTCACAGTGTTGATAGATGAACTTAATCTTGAGCCTTCTGTCTTTTCTAGGGAAATTAGGGGATGAGGAGACAAGAGGTGAGAGGGTTGGTCTTGAAAGTTCCAGGCTTCTAAGCATGGCTTAATCTTTGTAGGGATCAGCCCAACCTAGGAGCCCACCAAGAGTTGTCTCCTTAGAACAAAAGACATCCTTTGCACCCAGGAAATTACAAGGGCTTAGGAGTTCTATGTTAGGAACTGAGGTCAAAAACTAAATATCATCAGAAAAGACACACCTAGCACCCCAGTTGCTCAGGAAATTATCAGGCTTTTAAGAGCTCTGTGCCAGAATATGAGGGCAGAATACAAATGCATAATTCATCATAATATCAGAAGAATGTGAATTCTATTTGTAAAAGAAATGATTATCTAGGTGGGGATGCTGGATCCTAAGATATCTGTATGCAGCCTTCTTATTATCAAATTTACAGTGTTTTACTGTTTATTTCCACAATAAACTTATTTTTCACAACTGTATGTTGATTGATATTTATGTCATAGTACATTGCTGAATATTTATTGGAAATAAATTATTGTTTTGACTTTCAGAAAGGTTAACTGACTTTAGAAAAGTTCACAATGGGGCTGGGGATATAGCTCAGTGGCATAAGCACCTTCCTGGCAAGCATGAGGTCGTGAGTTCGATCCCCAGTACCAAAAAAAAAAAAAAAAAAAAAAAAAAAAAAAAAAAAAAAATCACAATGGCATAAGAAAGAGAAACATTACATTGAATTTTTTTCTTTCTATTGTAGGTTACCTAGAACAAGGATTACTGGTGAAAGATGAACAGAAACTCATAGAGAAATACAAATCAACCTTGCAATTTAAACTTGATGTTATATCAATGATACCAACTGATGTGATGTATTTTAAATTAGGGTGGAACTATCCAGAAATCAGATTAAACAGGCTATTAAGGTTCTCTCGCATGTTTGAGTTCTTCCAGAGAACAGAAACAAGGACAAACTACCCAAATGTCTTCAGGATTTCTAACCTTGTCATGTATATTGTCATTATTATCCACTGGAATGCATGTGTGTATTACTCTATTTCAAAAGCTATTGGATTTGGTAATGACACATGGGTCTATCCTGATGTTAATGATCCAGAATTTGGCCGTTTGGCCAGAAAATATGTATATAGCCTTTACTGGTCTACCCTGACTTTAACTACTATCGGTGAAACACCACCTCCTGTGCTGGATTCCGAGTATGTCTTTGTGGTGGTTGATTTCTTGATTGGAGTTTTGATTTTTGCTACCATTGTTGGTAACATAGGTTCCATGATTTCCAACATGAATGCAGCCAGGGCTGAGTTTCAGTCAAAGGTCGATGCTGTCAAGCAGTATATGAATTTTCGAAATGTAAGCAAAGATATGGAAAAGAGAGTTATTAAATGGTTTGATTATCTGTGGACCAATAAGAAAACAGTTGATGAGAAAGAAGTCTTGAGATATTTACCTGATAAACTGAGGGCAGAGATTGCCATCAATGTTCACTTAGATACACTAAAAAAAGTGCGCATTTTTGCCGATTGTGAGGCTGGTCTGTTGGTGGAACTGGTTTTGAAGTTACAACCTCAAGTCTACAGTCCTGGAGATTACATATGCAAGAAAGGGGATATTGGACGAGAGATGTACATCATCAAGGAAGGCAAACTTGCTGTGGTGGCAGATGATGGGATCACTCAGTTTGTGGTGTTGAGTGATGGCAGCTACTTTGGTGAAATCAGCATTCTTAACATTAAAGGCAGCAAAGCTGGTAATCGAAGAACAGCCAATATTAAAAGTATTGGCTACTCGGATCTCTTCTGTCTCTCAAAAGATGACCTCATGGAAGCTCTAACTGAGTATCCAGATGCCAAAACTATTCTGGAAGAGAAAGGAAGACAGATTTTAATGAAAGATGGTCTACTGGATCTAGACATTGCAAATGCTGGAAGTGACCCTAAAGATCTTGATGAGAAGGTCACTCAAATGGAGGGATCCCTAGACCGCCTGCAAGTACGATTTGCCCGTATCCTGGCTGAGTATGAGTCCATGCAGCAGAAACTGAAGCAAAGGTTAACCAAGGTTGAAAAATTTCTGAAGCCACTCATTGACACAGAATTTTCATCTCTTGAGGGACCTGGAGTAGAAAGTGAGCCCACAGAATCTACACAAGACTGAAAAACTGGTCATCGATGTGGGCATACTTACATTTTGATCATGTGACAAAAGACCACAAAGGAAAAAGCTGAAGAACTTTTCCATAAGGAAAATATGCTTAAGTGGTTGACACGGGCCTGTACATTCTCCACGAGGTAATATGGTTAAAGAATCATTTTATGTGCATCCTTCCCACAAAGGATAATCAGTGAAGATGTAGACTGATTAAGCCAACAGTATTCATATGTTTCAGATTTCTCACATATGGCCCTTTTATGTAGTAATCTTCATGAAAGAGAAATATTTCTCACTTTCAGGCCTTTTGCTTTGTGGAAGAGTAAAATGTCTTCTGAGTAACTTCGAATAACTGTGTACATCATGTTACATGTACATCATGTACATCATGGGATACCATTTTAAGAATAATTAGAGTGCAATAAAATAAAGTTAATTATGAAACTAGAGTAAATATGATTGCTTTCTTTTACTAGAAAATTTAGGATCTTTAGGCTTGTAGTGCTTTAAGGTCATTTCAAGTTAACTAGTTATTGTGGTACACCCAGGTTTCAGGAAGGCTGGTTGGAAAAATTTTTTACTGATAAAAGGATGATAAACCTCTTTATGAATATATGCACACACATAAATATTGAAATATGTAATATTTAAAAAAAATTTTTTTTGGTCTTTTTCGTTTTTATCGGTACCAGGGATTGAACTCACGACTGCCTGCTTCCAAGGCAGACGCTTATGCCGCTGAGCTAAATCCCCAGCCCCGAAATATGTAATATTGAAAATTGTAAAATGTTGTAGAAACCCTTTATATTAAATTTAACAAATTATCAGAATTAAGGCCTGACAGCAATGATTACTATCTTACTTCTCTGCCTGGCCAGCATTAAAACAAATGGATAAAGTACTATTGTTAAGTGATTAACAAAGGAAATTGTCATAATGTTAGAAAAGGAGACCTGAACATTTTGTGGACCAGGAGATAGGCATTGTTGGGAAATTTCTAAAAAAAATACAGAATCTTATAGCGGGAAGAAGTGTGCAGGCCTAGCAGGTATGAGGCTCTGGTTTCATCCCTAACACCTGGAAAAGGAAGACAGAAAACGCGGGTAGGACTACAGAATTCAGGCTCAACTGCTTCAGAATCTACATTTTAGCAAGATCTCTGAATATCCACACTGAAGACTGTGAAACAGTCTCTGGAGAACCAGGAAGGAGGCAGAGGGAGGATGGTTCTTAAAAAGAGAGAAAAAGGAATTTTTTTCCCATAAGTATATGACTGTGGAAAACATTGCTGATCAATCATATAACTCTACTGTTGAACTCCAACGTAGTTAAAAATTCCTTCTTTGCCTGGAGGTTTAGCTCAGCGGTGCAAGCATTTGCCTGGCAAGCACGAGGTCATGAATTTGATCTCTGGTACAAAAAAAAAAATCCTTCTTAACATCAATGTTAGAATTGATATGGGATTTCTATCTCATCAATTATTAGGATTGGTATGAGACGTCTAGCTCTGCTTATAATGACATTACTGAACATGACTTCCAGTTATCTTGACATTTCTGGTATATGTGGACTTCAGTCAGTAAATGTCAGTGGTATAATTTGTCCTTGTCTATCACTGAAGTATAAATTTGAATCCCAGCAATCTGGAAGGTTGAGATAGAAGGATGGCAAATTTGCTCCCAGCCTCAGTAACTTAGTGATTTTTCAAGACCCTGTCTCAACATGGAAAAAAATAAAAAATAACAATGGCTGGAGATGACGCTCAATGTGAAAGGCATGGGTTTGATTCCCAGTCACACACACATACGCACACACACACACACACACACACACACACACACTGGTCTCTCTGTGTCTCTGTCTCTGTCTCTGTCTCTGTCTCTGTCTCTGTCTCTGTCTCTCTCTCTCTCTCTCTCTCTCACACATTCCATTGAACTACACACTATGTCTTTGCAGGTCCAGGTTACCCTTCGAAGTTTTTCCTATTCCTTTACTTTCAGCCAGTAAATATTTCTTAACAATATAAGAGGTTTCTTCTAGTCCACGAGTAGGTTCACCGTACGCGGTGGTTAACATGATTTCTGCTTGAGACAAGTTTGCCTTTCCTCTCCTTTCTTTCTTATTCTTACAGCCTTCTCTCTTTCATTGTTTGAAGCCCACTGAGATGCTATAAAGAGGCTTGTTGTTATGGTAGAATAGGAACAAGTGAGGATTATACACCAGGATTGACCTGGCACCCCAAGAAGAGGCCACAACCTCAGTGTGTGTGTGGTGTGCTGTGGGTCTGATCTAAGATAGAGACATAGCCAAGAATTTGGATTTGGCAACTCTTGATTCAAGTTTTGTAAGTCTTCTTGAGGTTTATATGGGATAAGCTGCAGAGTTTCTATTTGACAGCTAGAAGGATGTTAGCCAATTCCTTTCCAGTGACTGCTCTAAGTAGAATGGTCTGATTGCCTAAGCTGATGGTGAGGGTTCTAGGTTAGATACCATGGGAAGTGAAGTGGAGAGGTTCTCAACAGGGACTCAGCATCATCAGGAAATTCTGGTTTACAGTTTAGGAAACATGGCTTTGGGCAGACGTGTTGGAAGTGCTGGTCGGGGTACTTGTGGATGCTAGAGCAGGAGCTCCTCTCTCAGCACCTTCCAGACTGACTCCAGTCTCTAGCTGGTTGCAAACAATGAGCAACTATACAGATTAGGATAAGGATAGGCTTGGTATAAGGATGAGAGAGAGAAGAAGAATGAAGGGCTGTGAAGACCCTTAGTACTTGCATCTGGGAAGAATAAGGGAGAATTTCAGAACTCCAGGATGGCAGACTGGTGAGAAAGTAGAACCAGACCTCCTGGTCTTAGCAGTATGGCTGATGAGCGTTTACTCTGCACCCACCAGCTGTATTATCATGTGTCGTTCACAGACAAAGAGATTATTTCATAATTATGCATATACGTATTTTTTAAATACCATTTTCCAGTATTATGTGATTAAGCTTCTTACCATTAGGTGGCAATGTTGGTTAACAATTATAACCTTCAAGACATGGAAACTTTCTCCTTGCAAATTGTAGATAGTATACTTATAATTTATACTCCTCAATGTCTGATCTTGATCTGGTGTTAAAATAGTGACTCAGATCTCAACAAGTCATTAAATATCTTAAACACTATAGGAACTCTACATGAACCAAGTGCAAACTTTCTGTTAAAGTCTGGGCTATATGTATATATATATATATATATATATATATATATATATATTTGTTTTTTTCTGTTTTACTGATGAAATCTTGACTGGGAAATAAAGAAGCGCTGTAATTCTTGCACTTTATAAAACACCAAAAGAAAATCACTAAATATGTTGTTATAAAAACATAACTAAGCCCTACATTACCCAGACTCAGCATGTAAAGAGCTATCCAGATTTTTCTCAAAAAAAAAGAAAAAAAAAAAAAAAGCAGTAAATCCAAGGTGGGAGGAATTTATAACATATTGGAGTATAACACTGCTGTGTCACGTTTTGAGGTTTTCACCTTGATTTTCCAAACATTTCTTATCATTTATTGTTTCTCTAATAATCATTTCTTAGCTTTTCTCCCCAGCCAAGTTACCAAATTCTTGAGGACAGAGACCACATTGTCTTTGTAGCTCGCAAGCCCAGCTCAGTGCCTGGCGCATGGAAGATGCTGTATAAATGTGAAGGACTGGGTACGTGGTATGCACAGATTTTTCAGGAGTTTCAGCAAAAGAATGCAACAGGTGCATTTGATCTGTGCTGTTGGATGATCCTTAAGAATGACCACGGCAGTGTTTAACCATAACTGTGTTGGATTAACTAGTGGTCAGTTTGTAATACCAAGATCAATTGAGGTGTGGAAGGCCCACCTGAGGATTGTTGTTAACAACATAAAAGGAGAACGGGAGGGGAAGATGGTGTGCTGTTGATAGATGATGTGCTGGAGAAGCTTGTTATGCTGGTTTTCCTGATACAACTCAGTTTTTCTCATCACTGAAGGAACTCAGGTCCTTGCTGTCCCTGAGGATGCCTGCTGTTCTTTTCAGGGGAGCACTGGTCCTTACTTTAAGCATTGTTTCCTGGCTCCAGTGCAGATCCCTCAGTTTGCTGGCACAGATCCTTCATCTGACTGGTACAGACCTTGTAGCTCCCACCACTGACCTTTGAACTTTCCTAGTGCAGATCCTTGATACAGACTTGCACGAGACATTGTCATGGGCTCTAGGCCTCCAGCTGGACTCATGCAGGACATTGCTGTGGAATCTAGGCCCTTGGTTGGATTCTTTGGGTCTCTAATACATGTACAAATTTCTCATACATTTTGCACTTGACTCTTTGGGTGAATATTATAAAAATAATCTTATAAATTATGTGTCCTGTATTAAATCCATTCTCTTGTAAACCCTAACTACAACAATAGCTAATAGATGATGATGACAAAAATAGTTGGTGCCAGTGTTAATGGTAAACCTGATTAAGACATCATCAGTGTAGGTAATATTTTTTTCTTAAACTTTTGAAATTGTGTTACTATGTTCAGAAAATAAAGTACTAAACATCAGACTTGTAGGCAAATAAGAAATAATTCAATATTCCCTGGACTAGTTTATTTCTAGAATTAGAAGAAGCAAGGAGGCAAATTTAAGGGAAAGGACAGAGAATCTTGAAAATGCAAAAAGACCCAGGAGATCACCTAGTTCATCCCTCTACGATTCATAAATATAGAAATGACAGCTGGGCAGCACTAAACTTGGTAAGTCTGGAGAGTATAGGAACTTTGAGTGACTGTGGGGGGTGTTATCAAGCTTTGGAGAACAATATATTAATATCTAGTAGAACTAAGGTTGGTTGACTTGAAACTCAGCAATTTCCTTCTTAGATAGTGTCATTGATAAAATCTGCCAGCTGTGGGCAAGGAGACTTGTTCAAGAGGAGCACACAAAGTAATAACTAAAAAGAAAACGAAAGAAAACCTAAACATTCATCAAACTAGACAAACTAGAATATAGCCCTACAGTGAAATACTATAAGATATTTAGATAGTTAGAAACACACTTATGTGGTGCTTACTTAGTTTATGCTAGTCATATCCAAGTTCTTACATGGTGAAAATGCATTAATCCCAGTAACAATTTGTAAGGTAGGCTCCAGTACCTGTTTAACAGACGAGGAAATGAAGCACAGAGAGATTAAATAACTTGTCCAAGATACCCAGGAAGTAAGTGGCAATAACTCCTATTTAAACTCAGGCCCCATTGTCTGTGACCTTAGCCTCTTTTGGGAGGCCGACTTTCATATTTACACATAATGTCATCGACACAATATGTGATACAATTTTGTGTGGCATTTGTACCTGTACTGTGTAGACTCTTTACCTACAATGCAAAATTTCAGTAACAGTCAGGGGAGGGTAGACGCAAGAAATCAAAGC